AACCTTGAAAAGACTATTCATGCTGTCAGTGTTTTAAAAGTAATTTTCAAAATATGAGACATTCTGTAATAGTGTTGGAAAATTCACATAAAAATAATAATGTTTTCATAAATCAAAATAAATAAACAATGTTTACAATGATATAGACATCAATAAATAGGTTACTGGGGCAACTTTAATCTCAAGTCAACAGTAATAGCTAAACATGGTCAGTTGTCCCTTTTGGCATTTTATTACCCAGTACTGTTCTCCTTTTTAGAGCATTTCATGTACACTGTTTTGACATATATTACTGGCAGACAGAACTAACATCAAATTAAAAAAAAGTGAATATAGTACATCAATTTAAGTGGTCTGTTCAATGGCACAAAGTAGTTGGGTTTTATATAAGTCAAATTTCCAAAGGAACCAATGTTTTAAATAGATAATCTGCAGAATATTCCAAGAAAACCATATAATACTGTGTAGAATTCCTGTTTTTGGTTTAATATTGGTACATAAGTATAACAATGTTTAACCTTCATGCTCACAAAAAACAGTGTGTTAAAAGGATAGTTATTCCCTTGACACCGCTATTATTGTATGTATACACTTTTGACACCCTCAACAATGTTTATTTAAAGATTATAAAAATATGTAAACAAGTACAATGTGATATTTATTATTTATCTTTTAGAAAGATTTATTTACCATTTTAAAAAGAAATGAATTTTAAAAGAAATCTTTTTATTAAAAAATTTATAAAAAATTTGACAAAATTATCAAAATATGTAAACCGACTATAGTTCAATATTTATTATTTGTCATTTTATAAATAACTATGAAATAAGTTTCTTATTCAATCTAATAAATAAATAGTGTTTAATATCTTTGTTATCAATTCTCAAGGATAAAGAAAATATATAAATCCACTTTCATATGTTTGGGGTTTCATTAAAAATTTAATCATCACTTTTTAAAATAATAAATATTACTGAAAGAGTCAAAAATTGTATACAATAATAGCAGTGTCAACGGAATAACCATCCTTTTAGAAAACACCAACAGCATCCTTCAAGAACATGGACTGAAGAGGTTCATTTCAATGAAGAAACTAGCTTTTAACAAAAAAGCATTTGAAGACAATGTTAAGTTGGTCAAAGTGGTATGAACTGTGGGATGCAGATGCTTGGGATAATATCACATTCAGTGGGGAAACAAAGATGGAGTTGCTTCTAATAAGTGTGAATTTGTCAGAAGCCTGAGAAGAAAATGAAATGACCCACATTACATAATGAAAACAGTAAAGTTTTGAGGGGCTGAAAGAAGAGAGATGATTCTAGAAAATTAGTTAAAATTGACAATAGCTTGAACAGTAACAAATACAGCCTGTTGTTGAAAGAACATTTGATACCAGACTTAAAATTACAAAGCTCCATATCACAGATTGCATGTAACAAAGACTGATTGATGTTATATCACCATATTGAAAGATTGTCCAGATTAGATTTTGACTGAAATCATGGATCAAATGTTGACAGAACTAATGAGTAGAATTCATCAAAAGAATCCACATTCTCTTTAGTTGTGGGAACATAATCACAGGGAATGATATCAAATACATGTGAAGAAGGTGAAGGATTTGTACACATCCCATCCCAGGTGCATTGAAGCAATTATTGAAGCTGCAGGAAGCCACACAAAATTAACAATGTGCATTAAATTCTTGAAATCAACTTTATATAATAAATTTTCATTACAGAAACACAGCATCTGACTTAGTTTATGTGAATTGGCCAAGATCTTTTGCACAACAATTTTTGGGGGATTGTTTCACATCTTCTACACTCATTCAGAACTCCTGCTAAAAAATATGTTAATTCAGTATGAAAATGACTCCAACGTTTCATCTGTAGACAGCACAATAAAAAACATCCACTGACTATTGGACTGTATTTAGTTTTTGTTCAATTTATTTGAGTGTTATTTTTTTTTTACTGTATGTCTTCGCCCTGCTTGGACCATCCCAACACAAAGATATCTGTGATGATTCAGTCTTGCCCTCCTTATGATCAAACTTAAATCACAACGTGGATAGGGCAAGTCTAAGATCGAAGCGATCTTCATTGATCAGCCATGGTATTAGAAGTCTTGGACGACCGGGAAGGTGTTGTATGATTACATTTGGTTGCCGTGACCAAGGATCAACCCTGAGGACCACATTTGGTCGCTGTGAGCCAGGATTGACCCTGAAAGACTACATTTTGGTGTGGATTTGACTTTGTTGACTATGACCAACCCAAGAATCCAGACAACAGAAAAGAAGAAGACAAGAAAAGGAGTGAGAACCAACAACTTTGGTCATTTTGACCATATAGTTCTAAAAATACACTTCATAATTTTTTTTCTTCTCTTGATAAATTGACAGCGACCCAGAAACAAGTGACAGGTAGTCACAGGCTATGCATACTTGAACTGTTTAAAGACAATAGAGAAGGGATTAAAAAAATTGCCAAGCAGAGATACTGACAAACGCTGTGTTGTCACAAGCTATCAGTATAACTGATGGTGCTTGGGTGGTCGCCGCACAAAAACCAATTGATCTGTCTAGAGTATGTGGGGAGAAACTACTAAGACACTGAGAGTGAAACTGCCATTGTCTTCGATGGAGCTACCCCTGTGGTGTTCAACATTTGGGATATACCTCTCCCTACCCCCATATTACCAGACTGAAGAGAAATACAAAGAAAAGGACTCAATTATAGGCATAGTTAGCAAGAGCTTAGGCAGTTTCATGGAATTATGGGAACCAGTAATGAATGAATATCCTAAAGTTATGCTAGAGAAGATGTCAGAGTTACTAAAAAGAATTGATATGAATCAATTAAAGGGCAGGTTAAATGATTTGGTAAGAGAAAGTATGGTTTGAACAGATAATAAGAGGATAGTGATAAATTGGTCAGCTGCAATGGGCACCATGTTAATCATTGCTGCAATAGCAGCAATGATATAGAAATTATAGAAAGAAATCAATTAATTATGTTTTGGCGAGTATGCAACATCCTGAGAAAGGGATTCTGAACTGTGATCTTTACCCAAACAAGTTCAATATCAACAAGGAAGGAACCAAATTGAATTTGTCAGAAGTAGAAATGGAGCAGGTACCTGCTGAAATGGAACCAATACTTGTTGAAGAAGAACCAAAACATCCCACTGCAGAGAAAAGAATGGTACCCAAGAAGAACAAAACATAAAACATACACACATACATCCACATAACAGAAACATGAAAACTTTGGAAGAAAAAAAAAAAGGAAGAAGAAAAACTTTTTATAGACTTTGCATGAAAAGAAAGAAGGAAAGACTTTGATGAATTTTGCATGAAGAGAAAGAGAAAAGTAAAAATGTTGCATGATAAATAGAAACATTGCATGATAAATAAAAACATTGCATAGAAATTATTTTTTTTCTATTACTACTGCAACACTCAGTATGCATGACAAATAGTATATTAGGTGATTTAGGTTTGAGATGTCATTTACTAGTAAAGGACATGAGAAGTATGGGAGGAATATGATACTATTTGTTGTTACTGCGGTAAAACATAGGAAAGTTTTCTTATGGATAGAAGGAGCGATATACTGAAAGACTTTGGAACAAAAAGGGTTAATACCTAAAATCTGTGGGAAAAGATTGACGATTTAATTCACATAGAGAAGACACCTGGAACTGGTATGTTGAGGGTTTGAACAATGGAAAATAACCCAGACTTAGAGGGCCATGATGATTGGCATGTGTTCTACACAGCTGAAAATGCAAGCTATAAAGCAGAAACTTCAGTTTTGTAAACAACAAATTTGGAGTTGATGTCTCTTGGTTGAAAGTTGAGTTGAAATACCAGCAGGAGGTGGAGAGCCACCCATGTTCACTGAGAGATAATAATAACAGAGAGTGGGAGAAGGGAATTCACTGAAATTATGAAGTAAGCTGACAACAAAGGGGATTTACCAAAATCCCCTTATGTGCCGTGCCAGTTCGAGTGAATGTCAATAAATACAAATGACGGATACAAGAGTGAGACGGCAGAGAGTTTGTTACAATCAACAGTTGTGATACTCCCACATGATTGCCTGCTGAAGAGACCCACCCCCCGACTTCAGTCTTGTGCTGCACTTTACCAAAACAGCAACCCAAATTCAACAATAATATCATTTCCAATTTAGTTGCAGGTTGGGCTGATAATTAATTGCATGCGAACTCTGGTATAACCAATTATTGTATGAAGGACTGATATAAAACCAGTATTTACTTTTTGTCCAATTTATTTGAGTGTCATTTTTTTTCCTGTATGTCTTTGCCCTGATTGGACCAGCCTGACACAAAGATACTTGCAACAATTCAGTTTTGGCCTCCTTATGATCAAACTTAAATCACATGGGATAGGGCAGGTCTGAGATCGAAATGATCTTCATTGATCAGCCGTGGTGTTGCAAGTCTTGGACAACCGGGGAGGGTGTTGTACAATTACAACAGCACCAAATAGCATAAAAATTGGGAATTCTATTTTAATTGTGAAGCACCCAATAATGAAGGAAAAGAAACCACTGCATCCTGTTCTGCTTGAACTGCATCATCAGAAAATTGTCTTCATGTAATAAAATGAGAAACTAAAAACAAAATCTTCATTAAGTACACAAATATATTTTAAAATATCTTTTTTTGAATTCATGATACTTTTATTTTTTATTTTTGTGATGTACCATATCATAAAACTCACTTTTTTCTCAAATATTAGATTGATTTGTTTTTTATGGCTTAAGCCAGAAAATATTTTTAGATTGTAAGAGTTTTTGGGAGATAATAATGATTTACTGATACAAGCCCTACTAATTAACCCCTAGCTGGGAGGAGATGAGGTGAATTTATACCTTTCTCAAGGATATTTGTAGATAAGAGAATATAACAAACTCAGCCTCTTCAATTTCCAATTCCAAGCTGTTATCCATTATACTACCCACTCTTACACCATCTGGTATTCCCAAGTGGTCTCCCATCTAGGTACTGAGTAGGCTCAATATTGCTTAACTTTGGTGATCATATGAAAACTAGTGTTTCAACATGATATGTGTGTAAGCCTCTCCAATATTAGAATTTCATAAATTCAGCAATAATCATTAGTACATCAACAGTTAACCTAGAGAAGAAAACACCAAATTGCTTGTCTGAAAGAAGTCCCTGTGCTGTGATGTTCTTAACCAATTTGGAGTTGATTAGGGCTTTGTGTAGTTTAGCAAAAAGAGGTTGATAGGTGAACCATCTGACGCTTGAACCGAGTTCTTAAAGACTGGGACAACAGAGGAGGATTTCCAACAAGCAGGAAAGCAAGAGGCAACGATGCAGTAGAATTCTTTGAATCATTTTCAAATCACAGTTTGAACTGTAATTTAGCAGTTTATAAACTGACTTGTTAAATAAAATATTTTAAATTCTAACCACAGTTTGAAGCCAAATCAATGAACTCTAAATTTGATATCTTTCAATGTTTATCTCTATCTATAAAAGGCAGGATGTGTGTGTGTGTAACGAATGCACAGCCACAATTTTCGACGGATTTGCACCAAAATTTACATGCACATGCTCTAAGTTAGCGGGAAGGCCAAGACTGACTTTGCATTTCCCAACTCCCATCGATAGTGGAAATAATCGATTTTTTCATGCTTCTACGGCAGTTTTCATGTAGTTTGTGGCCATTTTGTACTGGCCAGAGTGAGAGCCAATAGCTGGCTGCCAAGAATAGGCAGGAAGATTCTATTGGCCAACGTGAGAGCCAACTGCTGATTGACATGAATGTTAACTAGCATGCAAAAAAAAAAAAAAATCGATAGCTGCATTCGTCACAAGAGGGAAAAATTTAAATCTGCATGGCACTTTACTCCAATTGGCTCATTCACTTGCTTAAACTTAACGTTGATTCTGATTTCGCAGAACTGGGATGGGTGTGAAAAAGTATCTGTTGTTAACATTCTTTTTTCATCCGATTTTTCCAGTTATGAGTCCTTTTTTAAAGCTGATCGTTTTGTGTTCATTTTATTTAGTTCTTTTTTCGTAAGAGATTTAATGTTTAGTATAGAGCTTAGAAAAAATTTGCAGTGTGAGATAGGCAAGAAGTAAGGCATGTAGCAACATCATCACGGCAAAGGGCACTCCTTTAAAGGCAAGGAAGGGCAAAAATATTTTAAGTCAAGTGATAGTGATTGCTGTATGAGTCATACGATTTTTGAATCAAGCATGGGCAACGCCGGGCCATGCTGCTAGTTTTAGCATAAAATTAGACATGTATTAATCATTTTTTCTGAAACTGAATTACAAATCATAAACAAAGATCATTTATAATAAATATTAAAAATATATATCATTCTATTTTTAACACTATTTCTGTTTTTGCAATATTTATATGACCCAGCAGTAGCTAGATTACAAGATTTCCAGATTAAAGACATACAAATGTACTATGGATTCATTCAGACTAGTTTCTGAATTGTGCTTTTGTGATGATCATCATCATCACATACATACATACATACATACCTACACAAATTCAAATTTCAATAACAATCATTCATTAGATAGAAATCAATGCTGCTATCTTATGTGACAATTTTGAAATTGCTATATTTTTGTATAGTAGATTTTGTGCACTTTTGGGAGAATTGGATCCCAAGAGCCTTCTTAGCTTAGTAAATATTTTTCAGGAAATATCAGCTTCTAATTGGTCAATAAACACACAAGTGGGTGCTACAATCCACCTACACACAATATATTTTTCCAGCACGTGACTAAGTCAAGTTTCAAGCGCTGTGATCCTGTCACGTGATTACGTTATCTATATAAACAAACACGAGTTTGCCTCTTCCTCTCTTTCTTCTCTATTCTTGCTGCAAAATGTAGTCCCAGAGAATTATCATCTTGACCTTGTCAGATGTTAACATTCACCAAAATACAAACTTTTGAAATTATGCATCATAGGCAATGATTTTTTGTAAACTTTAAATCTAATGTCTGTTCTTTCTTAATTAGTGGCCCTAATGAGATGTTGATATCTATGCTTGGCCTACTAATTGGATGATTTGAGCTGAGCATATACACAGCTTCATTCATTTGCTTATTTCTGGAGGCTACATTGAAGAAAATAAAAAAAAAACAACAACAAATAAACTGGCCCAAATGCACCGATAGCTTAGCAACTATCTACATGAATTATAAAGTGTCACTGTAGTGTAGATCAGTGGTTCCCAACCGTTAACTCATGGCCCACTTTGAAGCCAGAATTTTTCTGTGGCCCATGAAATTATTGTAATGTAAAGAATTACTTCAATTTTACATAGAATATATCCAATTATAAAATTTCTGTGGCCCACCTGATATTTGACAAGGCCCATTTTGGCCATAATAGATAGGGAAACACTGGTGTATGTATGCACCAAATAATGGGTCAGTCATAGGGCCACTTGGTAAAAACTAAAAAGCCAATAAAAATAAATAAATCAACTCCTCAACAGTAAGTTAAACTTGTTAAATGTCTCAAATTTGTATTATTTTTTTTAATTAATTTCTCGCTTATTTCTTTCTATTGCATTTTTTGAACTTCAAATAATACAAAAAAATAGTCTTCATTTGGGTGAATACTTTTTCTCCCCAAAAATTTAATAAAGATAATAAAATTAAAAAACTCTTTAAAAAATATTCCCTTGCGTCCCATAGTGAGAGTTTTCCATAAAGTAAATATTTAGCTTTGTAATTGTTGATTACCAACATTTTTACACGTATGAATACTGATTAAAATAAAAACAATCATTGTTTCGGCGAGAAGTTCCCACTTCAATTTTATCATGGATTCAATTTGGTTTAAAAAAATTAAAAAAAAAAAAAAGCATCAGCTGTAGTGTAGAGTGTAGGTAGAACGATTACTGAAAGAAAAAAAGAGTGACATCATTGTTTACTGGGTGCTCCACAAATGTGATATTATGCCAAAGTTGGCATTTGTTATTCCATCTGTTTGATCGATAGTAATTCAATTCTACTTACAACAGGATTTATTAAATTCAGGGTCTGTTTTTCTTTTGAAGAGCCTCCGCCAGTTTTCAGTCCCTGCTCTCGTTCTACAGTCGTGTGCTTGTTGATGCGTATCGTCAGGTTTAAAAATAAAATATATTTTTTTTGTATGAGAACATTCTCCCTTAACAAAATCATTTAAATTTTTTTAAATAAAAAATCCTAAAATGAAAACTTCCTATATTGAGTGATGATGAGAATAACATTCAATGTTTTCTTTTAAATTTTATTAAATCAAAAAATATTTTTTTTAATTTAACTCCTAATTTAAAGCCATTTAAAATCAAAATGAAGGACATCAAAATACCGGAGAAAAAAAAAAATGAACAAAAAAAAAAAACAAAAAAACGTGTCGTGTTTTTCATTGCCATAATGGTTTTTTGGTCAGGGAAGAAAGACTTTACTTCATACAAAAAGGAAAATGCATTCAAAATTAAAAATCATTTTCTAAGTTTCTAGTAAAACTTTATTTTCGTAGCAAAGATCAATTATTAGCCTGAAAAAGGGTATATTTTATTAACCTTTAAATTTAAATTGTTTGTTTTATAACCTACGTCTGTGCATAAAACTTTTTAAAAAGCTGCCACTGAAAACATACAACAATATAGTAGTACTACTACTACAGCGGCAACCAAAGATTATAGTTTAGTTGTTTAATGTCTTGCGTGTATCACGAAGAAATTATGCATTATCTAATAAACAAATGCTATATGGGTTTTTTCGAAAATCCTAATTTTTGTTTATGTATAAAAAGTATGAATCAAGTGGAAAAACCAATAAAAACAAGGACCAAAAACAAAATTAAAATTTGAAAATCTTTTGACTTTTATTTTTAGTTTGAGTTTGTTTGACTAAGTGAGCTATGTTTGTTTACATCAGATAGAAACCTTTAATATTTTTTATATTAAGTGTGGAAAAGTTATATATAAATTAAAATACATTTAACTACTCTCACAGTGGGTATTATTTAAGGAGTTTGTAAAGTGAAGCAATAAGAGAAGACATTTTGCAAGACTGCTTGAAGTACAAAAAAAAAGTGTGGGTTTTGGAATGCATAGTTTGAATTACAGTTTTTAAAACTAACCGAAGAGAGGTTCTGTACAAATTTTTGATGCCAGTGTATTAATTAACTCTTAGTCTAAAAATAATAATTATTTAACAAATATTTTTATCTCCGAACATTAACAACAATGTTCGCCGTTCCGAGAACAACTTTACAAAAAGAAACTCTCAAATCGGTCTGACAGAAATAAACAAAAAGTCAATCAATCAACAAAAGCATTTTTAATTTTTTTTAAATATCTGGAAAAAAAGGAATAAATCGATGCAGAGGAAATACTTGTTTCTCAGAGGAAAAGTTCGAGTTCCTTTCTCAGAAGTAGTGAAAAAACAATATTGTCACGTGGCTTTTTAGCCCACCTTTAACTGTTTTGAAAATGACATTAATCATAAAATCTTGATTCTTGAATCATTGTTCTTGTATTTTTTATTTTATTACCAATAAAAACTAAAAGACGTTAAACGTTAAAAAGTTTTTTTACAATATGAATCGAATAAAAATAAAATACTGTTAGTCAAAAAATAAAATAAAGAACATTGTGTTTAGTTTAACGAACCACCACCGAAATGATTGTATTTTTATACAGAACTCTACAAACATTTTCATTTAGAAATGATAAATTATTAGACTCGCAAAAATGTTCATGACATGTGCAATCTGTACAATGTACTGAACATATACACATGCATTACTGGCCTTGTCCTTGACCTATATCAAATTTCTTCTTTACCTCCTCCCAATAATAATTTTTGGTAACTGTTTTTTTATTCCATAGTCATTCATTCATTCATACTCTTATATTTAACATTATTGTCGACCGAAATCAATATCCGGGAGAAAAGGTGTCATATTCTACTCTCTCGTGCCAAAATAATAATTTCATTATCGCGCTCAACACAATCAGAAAAGTTTGTAAGGGAAAAAAGAAAATTTTAAATATTTATAACTTC